CAAGGAATATAACTTAATGTTTTTTATTTATTTTTATTAATGCAGTGTTGCTTAGCCGTCTTACATGAAATTCTTAATAACGACCATAAACGTTTTAAGTCGTTCAATTCCGAAGAAAACGTCACCTTACGTTAGGCGCTTGAATATCAAAACATATAACAGATAAATACTGTTCGGACATACACAGTGGAAGAAGGAATAATACGGTTGAATATCTAAAAAAACATAATGAATGAAACCTTAGGTCTATTGCTACGCTACTTTTACAACGAGAAAGCTGATCACAGAATAGAGATAAAACTATTTCAAAAATGCCAAAACTTTAGCATATTCTTGTTTGTTCCTATGACTATCCGCCTCACTGAGTCGGTTGTGAAGTCAGAACCGTTCAATAGACTCGATGGTGATTATGTATGTTTTCTATATTTTATAAGATAAATAATGATGGTTCAAAATGTCTAATGATTAATCAAAGAATAATCAAACCACAGGGTTTCAGAATCAAACCACTGGATGTTGGGTCGAACCGTGTTATAAATACATAACCATTGCCAAAATTAATTATCATACAGCCTAATTACTATGAGATGTCTTCAGGGGTAGCGTCAGTGAGTCGGCTTCAAACGGCATTAGGCCTAATTTGTATCACTACATCCTCTGTGCGCTTGACTGCATGTTGACGTCACTTCCTGCTGTGTGGTAGTGTAATAATTTAGGCAGACGGCGCTTCATTATCGTTAAAAGTCAATAAAAACACCAAACTTTATGACTTTCTAAACTGTGTATATTGAGAAGAGATTCGGGTACCTTATAATTGTAAAAAGAGACTAATGTTTTATATTGATAAACAAATTTAATTCTGTAGAAATTGGTGAAGGGAAAAGTTTAGCTTTTCAGAACCAATAGTAGCCCTTAGTTTATTTCTAAAATAAGTAGCAATACTTAGTCCAAATTTTAAGACCAAATACTGTCAGTGGCCGTGGACTTAAGTAAATTGGGGCTTTCCCCCGTGAAATTCTTTTTCAGTATTCCCCTCTGACCCCTCTGTATGTCAATTTAATTCCTTTTTATGAAAGATTTAAAGATTTTCAGGCAGTATAACATAATATCGCCATTGGTAGGGCCTTAGAGATAAAGTTGTGAACCATCTTATGTGTTAACCTTTGAGACAATTTTTTCTGGAGATGGGAGCCCCCTTCGTCCGTGAACTTGGTGACCCAATGGTAGTTGAGCCACTAAATACTGTACATGTACCTGCAATTGGTTGTTTAATGAATATCCCTAGGGAGAACATCGATTTTGTCAAATTAGGCTACTGGACTGTAGTCTACAAATCTCCACACGATATTGTGTTGTTGTGAATATCAATCTCGGAACTTAAAACATTTGTAACTTCAGGAGACTGTGACGAGACCCTCCATGGATCCCAGAGGAAGCTGGTTTCAGTTCGTTCGACACTCTGATAGGGTCAACAGTAAAAGAAATACCAGGAATAAACGGAAGAAAAAAAGACAGAAAACTCTAGTAGGAATGGTAAGTTGTTGATTGAATTTCCCTCATCCATTTATTTCAATTGTTAAATGGCTACCATATCATTTAGCAATCATTAAAATATGTAACAAACTACTGTCGGATCTAACTAGCTAGCAGACTGTGTTTGGTATATACTTGATTATACTCTAGTTATATTATTATGTTTGTATTTTTCAGCGTAAACAAATTGGACCCCCGGGCCCACCTGGGCCGCCCGGACCAATTGGACCCCCAGGTGCTGTTATAACCAGAGATGAATTGATGGAAGAGTTTAAAACGATGGTGAAAGGTATATCATTTATTTCAATTGTCTAATGTTTTCAAAGTTTATGTTTCCTGCTCCTGATCTAGAAGACATCTACAAACCATTCCATAGAAAATAAACATTCCAACTAGATTTCTGTGATTGCGTTTGTTTCAAGATTTGCCTTCTTTTTTCTTTTCAGAGGCTGCTGAAAAAAGAGCAAATGAATTGTTAAAAGAACGGGTATGTTACTTGATTAATTATGAAACAGTATCGTAGTCACCATTCCTTTTCCGAGCTTTTTGATGTTTCTTTTAAGATATTATAAGTCTATGTTCCATTTTAAAACTGATAAGAGAGCATGTGTGTTTTCCAAAAAATCCTTTCCTTTTTCCTTTGAAAGTTTTACGTCTGCATACAGTTGATGTTAGTTAACAAATACGGGTCATGGATTTTGAAAAGAGGAATTCTTCGGTACCAGGGATCAAAGTTCCTTACGCAAATTGCCAAACGTGAAGAATCGTGTGCGATCGTCTTGAAGATTTATTTGTTTAATTGCTGTGAAACGTGTGACATTTCTCACGTTTGAACTAAGATGTTAATGTGTTAAATTGTGGAACCAGACTGTTGGCGCCAGTAGTATTGATTATGAGCAATTTCTTCCAGTAAATGATAAGACACATCATCATTAGATAATCTTTAGATCATCACACTTGTCACTCGCTTCAATGTTTTAATTGGTGAACGTCGATAAATGTTTATGATTCCTAATACGTAATAGAGATTTCTTTAGTCTCTATCCCCAACACACATTGTATACAGTCCTACTAACAAGCCTGACAAATTTGGGCCTGTTACTATCCTTAGTTTTATTGTTTTATTTTATAAGTTGATTATTACTCAACTATCATCAACTATAACCAGTGGTTAACATTCTCTGTTGTGGTACAGAACCTAAGTTGAGTTCTGTAATTGTTCTTTAGAGTTCTGCAGTGAGAGAGAAAAAGAGAGAGAGAGAGAGAGATAGATAGAGAGAGAGAGAGAGAGAGAGAGAGAGAGAGAGATAGATAGAGAGAGAGAGAGAGAGAGAGAGAGAGAGAGAGAGGGGGGGAGAGGGGGGTAGAGGGTAGCAACTGTCGAGGTTGAGATTCAAAACTCGGCAACTCAAAGGAAGCGCATAGGTGCATGGAGGGTTATCTCGAGAAAATTTTTAAAAATAGTATTGCTACAGGACCTGGAGCTTTGGCTTTTTATCTGAAATACTGTTTTTCAGTGTGATGCCTGTACATCTATTGTAAATGGAAGTCACATACTACCACCAGATCTGGAAGAAATGTTATTTATACCACGTGTTGCTGCTGCTTTTCATGTCCGACTCCGTAAAAATATTGTAGTCGCTAGAAGAACGTTTATGGAACTAAAAAACTTTCATCAGGTAAATATTACTATGACTGTGTCATGTCATTTCGTGCTAGGTCGAAAGTGCTGATATGAAAAGCATCTTCGTGATAGTCGTTCGAATCACATCGAAAGTAGACATTTTAATAGTTAATAGGAACTATCGTATAGACAATTCGAGTCATCGCTACTTATAGTCTCTCAAGAGCCCGTGTCGGAGCCCACGTATTTACCACAAGCCTTAAAAGTAATTGAAATTTCAGGTGTAATAGATAAAATCGACATCATATAATGAACGATTTTTCGAAAAAAAAATAAGTATTCTGTTCCCAGTAAAAAGCGTGCAGATATCGGGGTTTCTTGATTATTGCCAACTGGATAAACGCGGCTCTACTTTAGGCTATAATGAAACGACATGATATGATGTATCATCAGCGTAAAACTGCTTTGCTGTATAACTAGTACTTAACGTTGTGAAATAGTTTTCAGACATTGCAGTAGTTATTATGAACTTAAATGGAAAATTCATGACCTACTTTACTATGTTATTGAACTGACACAGGTGCAAAGAATTTACCTTCAAATTAAAAAGACCATTTTTATTTCACATGATTTTACTTAAAAAGTCAAAGCCTAGCTCATTGGACACCTGGCATCGTTCAAATTCTAGATTTTATTAACTAGAAACAGTCAAATATTCAAAGACGAAACTTGATCTCTTTATCGTTTTGCTTAAAACAGACTGAAATGATTTCAAGGTATGGACACAAAAGGAATATTTAAAGACGTAATAAGCAATGATGTAGAAAATTCTCCGTTTCTTGTTACGAACTCAGTTAGAGATTAGACTCATTAAAATTGAAATATCCAAACATTGATTTCAAAAAAGCAAAATAGATTAGGATATGAAACGATTAATATTAATGTCATCCAAGAACTATCTGAAATCAGAATATTCTGGTCATTCAATAGCTCTTTTTTAATACAACACTAACCGGAAGTTGACTAAGTAAACATGAAGGATGCTTTCTGTAACAACCGGAAGTGGATAGAATGAATTATAATGGAAGAATAAAAACATTAGAACAGATGATGAGAATCTCGGCACATGCTTGACACGTTCTGGGTAGTTATCAGGCGAGCACGCGACGACCTGTACGCCACCTGTTAATGATAATAATAGTAATTTCGTCAATTCAAGTTTGGTCTTTAAAACAATGAAGTCGGCACCATGCTATATTGTTCTTTGTTTTTAAAACATTTTAGAGCTATTACAATAATTACTGTGATATCCGAGTTCACCACATTTTAACCTTGTAATTAAAATCAGTGTCCATTGGTTTCTTACAGCTCTGTTATATTTTGATTTCAAAATTCATTTTTGATTTCAACATTGCCATAGATATGTCAGGAATATCATGCTTTTGGAATTATAAAAAAATCTGCCCATAACCCTTCCTTTTCATTGTAATAAAAAAAATGATAAAAAGCTGACAGTAATAGAATATTATCTCAATTTCTCAAACCTAATATCTTTGATCAAATGCACTTTCTGTTTTTCATCATTTGACATAAACGAACCCTAGTGAAGTTTTTCATCAGTATACTTGTGATACGGGCATTTAGAATCAAGTACTATCAGCTGTTTGAGCAAATATTTGGAATAATTTACAATAACTTTTTTATCATTTTCTTTCAGCCGTTTGGAGATGGGTCATTTATGAAAGGTAGTGTTTTCGATTCAAGAGAGGGGCGGTTTGTGGCCCCACGTGAAGCTCTATATCAGTTCACTACACATCTACATATACAAATAAAAAGACGCTCACGGAGCAGTAAACGCTTACGGAGACGTGACAACATTAAAGTCTCAATCTGTATTGATTCTCTTTGTCAGAAAAATACGTAAGTAATAACTGATCTTATCAGATTTTCTGAAGAACTCACAATGTCAAGCTATTACGAACTTCGTCTTATACCCTGACTACAATGGCCACCTTTCTAGTATCACGGGATACAGTGACTTTGATTGGATTGTGGTCAGGGAAACTGTAACCATTATGGCTTACAAACTGTATTCTAAACAATCTAACCAATTTAATTTAGGCTAAGACAGACTATGTTCTGTTTCAACGTCGCTTCGCATGAAATGGCTTTGTTGCTTTGGTTGCAAAGACATTTCCTCTTCTAGAATCTAAGGGTTCCGATGTCATTTTGAAAATCAATTTCAGGTCCTTGGAGTATATTTGTGGTTTAGAATCAAACAGTAAAATATTTACAGTTAGTCTTAACGGCTTTTTACATTTAAAGGTTTGTGTTTTTATTTCAACGTACTCTCATGATGAACGAAGAATGACTATTCATTTTTACGTTTTTCCGTTCAGGAACATTCAAGTATTACCCTTTACAATACCGTACACGTTCCGAAATTAATTGTGACCCTTATAAATATCTTAATTAATATTTAATATAAACCAGATTTGCTGTTTATCTATAATGTATTATATTTGGCCTTTAATTGCATTCATTGGGTGTTCAGTTTCTATTATATCATCACGATTGGTGGGGACCTGATACTGAAATTTTACCACTTATTTTATGTAAAGAAGGACAATATACATATAGCTTTTTACCTCTTACTTTATGATATTTCTGAAAGGACAATATACGCCAGTTTTACCACTTATTTTATGTACAGAAGGACAATATACATATAGCTTTTTACCTCTTACTTTATGATATTTCTGAAAGGACAATATACGCCAGTTTTACCACTTATTTTATGTACAGAAGGACAATATACATATAGCTTTTTACCTCTTACTTTATGATATTTCTGAAAGGACAATATACGCCAGTTTTACCATTTATTTTATGTACAGAAGGACAATATACATATAGCTTTTTACCTCTTACTTTATGATATTTCTGAAAGGACAATATACGCCAGTTTTACCATTTATTTTATGTACAGAAGGACAATATACATATAGCTTTTTACCTCTTACTTTATGATATTTCTGAAAGGACAATATACGCCAGTTTTACCACTTATTTTATGTTCAGAAAGGACAATATGCATAGGGTTTTTACTACTTATGTTATGTTGTTTCAGAAAAGATGTCAGTTTTTACCACTTTTTTAATGTTATTATATACAATACAATATACGTCAGTTTTTACCACTTATTTTACCACTAATTCTATGTTTTTACCACTTATTAAATGCTATTTCAGAACGGAAATAAACGTTAGTTTTTACCACTTACTTCACAGTTTATTTTATGTTCTTTCAGAAAGGACAGTATACGTCAGTGTATGTAGATAATTCTTCAGGGATGATGGTCAAATTACAGCTTGGGTCAGATTTCTCAGGAATATTGTTTGGTGTGTGAGAAACGTAGATA